TACAACACCAGCCCCTCCGAATTTACAAAGAAGTTTCTGACGTTCAGTCCAAATGGAATAACGTGGAACAACTTATTTGCATCAAGTTCACCGATACGTGAACGACTGAATCACTAAACCAGCTAAATTTATTGCATCCAATCAATTTGTCCTAATTTGGTTGCCTCTGGGACATATTCCCTTAGGTGTGTGATACGCATATACAATGAGTTGTATGCACTCATTTTTCGTCCGAAAGTCTGACCACTCCGATTTACCAGCAGCTGTTTACTCACACAATGATTTTCAGCCATTCTAATGAAATTAGTTTTCATCCAGTCTTTCAGTGATGTGATGGAAACGGAACAGTGCTCACAAATATATTTTTGGAGTTTGAGTTGCTCACGCCACGGACGTGAGTCACGGTCAAATGGATGCTATTCACATCCAGATGAAACAAAGTCAACTCCCTACAAACAAAATGACTAACTTGTGCTACCGTCTGAACAGTATATTGGTAGAAAAATATTTTGGTCAGGCGAGAGTGGGCGATTGCAAGATGTGATTTGCTTCTCACCTACGTCAATATGAGAACATCCAGCTGCAGTTTTATTCAACCATCACGCTTATTCAATGTGGACGGACTACGCCCACAAGCGAATCAAGTTGAAGGCGTAAGGTGTAAGTTAGATAACCAAGTCATTTACAAAGCCTCCAGAAAGTTTCCAAAGGTGTTTCCGAATACGCGGCGAAGACTAATTCCATCGAGCTAGAAATATTTACCGAAGCTCTGATCTATATCATTTTGTAATACTGGAACACTCCTGGGTTGCTTAGTAAATCCTCAACTCGTGACAGGGACAAGTTAGCGGGGAGAGATAAACTACTGTTAATGGCCATGGTCTTAAAATTTTCACAAAACTTCGGACAGAATTTTCTATAGTACCTTATACAAAGATTCTACAAACCAATTCCAGTAGGCTGATCATCCATAGTTTTTCTTAGCAACTTAAATGCAAACAGCTGCAATCAGACGAATCCACAACGAATGGGACCGGGCAGCACAAAAATCCTACAATAAACTGAACTTCAGCCTCTATCGATCTGAGAGAAATAGAAGCAGTACGGTTGAACCCCCAGATTTTAACATCATTAATGCGCTAGTATGATGCAAAACACTGTTAAATTTAAGGAGCTGAATGTCTTACTCGGACTGCGTTGACAGAAATGTGACTGCAACGTTACTTTTAGGTGAAAAGTCAGTAGTGTCCTATGTTGAGGCTGACCTGGCAAGCGCACACGAACGGAACACACTGTAATCATAACCTAACCAGAGGAAGCCCTTGGCTGTGGAGTTATTTATTGGAAAGCACCAACCCAACAGTTACAGACTATTGGATAGGGAAGCAAAACTCTTATATGCATCTTGTTTATAAAAACTGAGTATCTGCCATCTTCTTGAACGTGCCTTCTGGAATTTTCCTGGATACTCATTGGCCATCACTCAGATGTAAACAGATGCTACAATGCAACTCCACAAATTTCGCAAAAAACCTTTTTTTTTCAATAAACGCGAACGGGACTTACGAAAAAACCACATACTACTCGCATGTCTCATAGTAGTATCCACAGTTACACGGGTACATAGCCGTGACACATGTCAGAGCTTCTGGAGGTTTACCTGAACTACCCCTTGCTTCATATAATGCAAGGCACCCACGCTGATTAGGTTGTTATAACACATGAAGGCATGATAACAATCAGGTCAGCCGGAAATGTGAAAGATCCTCTGGCCACAATTACTTATGAGTGCGTAACCGAGCTCACAACACGTCAATCGACAGGCTGATCTTTTCGGGTAATCTAGAAAGCTGATAGTTAAACGCACATGAAAGGACAGTAATCGCTCTACGAGGAATTCTTAAAGGGAAGGTTGAGCATCACTGCATTGAATTGTTAAACGCCATATGTGTGTTCCATCAAGTACCTATAATAAACACCAGACATAGAGGTTTTTCAGAGAATTACTATTCTACACGCTACAATGTGAGTAGAATGGTAGAGACTGTTCTTACCAGGAAAAAGTGAATTGTTCACAAGAGGGTACAGTAAAGTACCCAAGCAGCTCTGAACGAGTGTGTCCCAAAATGAGGAAAAAAAGGATTTCCTTTCCTTTCGTTTTTTCCGTTGCTAATCTAGAATAATCACATACTTCTTAGGATGTTTGAATCACTATATTTGTGAAATGTGGATGTTGCCACTGTTTGTGAAACTGTGCAAGCTGATATAAGAGTAAGCAATTTGCTTGGAAATTTTTGGGTGTTTGGTATGCGAATGCTTATTTGGTGTAACATATTTTCGCTTATGTGGATTAAATATGACGTTGTACAAGAGGCGCATTTAGTTTGCTGGTCTGGCAATTTGAAGGTCACCGTTTTTTTCACATCTCCCAAATTTGTCGAATCGTTCAAGAAGACAAATATGTGAATGCACATGCGTAACACATACATTCGCAATTCGCTACAACAGCAATTGCAGTAAATGCGCACGGTGTAAGTGGATTAACGATAATCTAGTAAGACAATCGAAAATCGATCTTTGATCCAGACATGCCCCTATTGTCGTTCCAAGCAAATTATCCGTTGTTTAACTTTATACCAGAATAAGACAACTTTCCAAACAATTCGAAATAGTGTATCTAATGGATCTGCGTTGTGCTCAGTCATTTGAAAACATAGTACAATTGAAGAAATTTGGAAAATTTGTTCCAAACTGTCTCAGTATGTGATTTATCTGGAAGTACCAAACTGTCAGAGAGTGTAGGATTCATCATATTTTACATCCTGTGGCTCAGTGTCTTCGATTTTGCCTTCGGTACAGTTAACAGCCCGTGTCGAAAAATCCGTTTTTTTCCCTAAAGCTATGGCAATGACAGCGATTCATTCTCTTGATAAGGCGTAACTTAATGAATGAAAGTACAATGAAGCCGTATTGAGTGTGACACTAAAGGGTTATTCCTATTGACCTTGACCTATTGCTTTTCTGAAAAGTTATTTTGACTTAAATCCTGTACAGTGAGTTTTCAGTAAATGATTACTGGCTAGCCAAAAATTGACACAAAGGATAAGTTGTAGCAGGCAACAAAACAGCGCGAGTTAGACTGCAAAAATGCAAACGGCTTGAAACACTAGCTGTGGAGATGATGCCCATCAAACCACCAAAAGTCTCATCAGCATGGTTGAAGTTCTAACCAGCACAACATGACTTTCCGAGATAGCGTTTTAGTACTTCGCTTCTGTTTGCATACCACTCGCCTGACAAGCGAACGATCGGAATTTGATTCCAAACTCTGGTGTCCGTCACTTCAAGTGCAGTTGAATCTTTATCCGGGAGATTGAAAATTTGCTGGTTCCAAGGTTGACGACAGCGAAATAATTACCCTTCATTATATTTGCTTACGATTTCTTATACGATTGTTAATGTTGAGTTCATGTCATGTGAAGATATGGTGCTCTCAGCTTTGTCATAAATTTGCTACTTGTACATATTTGTCTACGAATGTGAGTTCGCGTGTAGCGATAAAGGAATTAATAATGAGTCATCATTCGCTGATAGAAAAACTTCAATTTTTTCTGTAAGTACGTGCTAGTCATGTCCAATAGCTTGATGCATTTGGGAAGTGTCCAAATGGTGTAATAAACTTTCGAAGTTTATTTGAACTCTTGGTGCATAACATAAAACCAAAATTAACGAAAACCCTGTACGTTGTACCTTAAGCCATAAGTATCCTTAACTATGACGAAAGTTGTTCTTTAAACCGGCTTTTATTGTCTACCATTTTTCATTTTTCTCGGAAGTGGTCCGAAATAGAATTTCACCAAGGCTCCAAAGTATCCTAATCGTATGCCACTCCAAACACAGCACTTCGAGGTCCCGAATGGGTGTAAATAAACAGCAGTCTAAGATTTACTCATTTTTATTCATGCTTACGTCTAAATCTCGGGTCCAAAATAAAAAAAAGTATCGCCCCTATCAAGACGCTATTTCATTCCTGAATACATGGCTGTTATTCACACCACTTCTGCCACCATTCCTTCTTAACAGGGTGTGAAAAACTCACCAAAGTGTTTGACGGTTAATGTTGTTCTCAAGTTTTATAACTTCACATTCCAATCAATAAAGTGACGTTTTTATGTCCCGTATGACTGTCCATGTACATCATGATCCGATCTGATTTGGCGCTAACACTGACAATACCATATACCACTCCTCCGAATTAGATCACATCAGTCCAAAGGCTATGATTTCGTCATATAGAAAAGCAAGCATAACAAACGGTACAAGGATGCTGTTTCTTATGTTTTATAAGCACTAACAAAAGTGTCAACTGGGGGCTTTCGACTTTTACTGCTAACTAAATATAGAGTCTGCTTATCAGTCAGGATGTTCTCAAAATGAGTGCCCCATTCCGCAGCGCCAACCACTCAACATATAGTTATATACTGGGATTTCGCATCGAGCAATTGTCAGCAAAACACCAATCTGGGTTCCTGTGGGCCGTAGTCAGTTTTTCTGCTGCGGTGGTAGGAGCAAATGCTCAACACAGCGGATCAATAACTGGTTTCAGGTACAGGGGTCAGTAGGATGCAATGGCGAGTAGATCCAGCTAGTGTTAGGCGCTTAATAAACGTTTTCCGTAAGTCTTCGCAAGAGCAGCTCAGACAATTAGACTCCAAGTGTCTCATGTTGAAAGATTCATCGTCAGAGCCGTTTCAAATTCTTTCAGCGGTTGCAAGTCTGCCCTTATAGAGACGCGTTCCCCACCAACCTAGGTGACTCTATGGTTGGTGCAGTTAGTCCCGTCGACCGTCCTAATATTATGGCACTGAAGATTTTTTAGGACTTGTTTTCCGCGGGTAATTTGTTTCAAATCCTGAAAACTTATTCGTTGACACTTACAGAAGTTTCAAACTACGAGCACAGCTTAGGAAAGGTATGAAGATGCCACACAAAAAACTCACCATTGCCTTTGCACTGCCAGATTTGTCGATCTTTGTTGATTTTCCAGGTTTGTTCCGTTGCATTCGTTTTCCACACTGCTTACCAATTTTAGAGATTACTCGTACTGGTTCAACTGATTTGGAGATAAGCGTTACGTCAGCGTAAATATCAATATCTTCAGAATGTTCTTTCTCAACTTCTTTTTCTTCCCCTTTTGTGGATTGAATGGGCGTTTTTGGCATCGATTCCGTAGTATGCATGTCACTCAACGTTACCTTGGATGTTTTGTCTTGCGTTTCCTCGCAGTTGCTTGTCTGGCTACTGCTAATGCTACTGCGACCTGAATCCGTGGATGAGCAAACTCGTCTAGTTCCGTCATTCTCAACAACGCGTGGTTCGCATGATTTTGCTCCAGCCTCCTCCCTCGTTTTGCGTGTTGATCTCACACCCACTGACTGAGTGGAAAACGTGTCACTGATTTTGACAGCCGTGCGATTGGAAATCACTTCTCGCGTTTGTTCCAACTGCATTTTTACACAAGCGTGCTTCAAAAGAGCAAGAAATCAGACGCGTGCATGATAAATCCAGCGGTTCTCGCACGCTTGTCCGTGAAAATAAGACAGTGGTTTTGATTGTTTCAGCTGCGAAAGATTTATCCTCAGAAAACAGAGTATACCCCTCCAGTCGTAGCAATTGGGAACCGAGTCATCGCTGCTGTCAAATGAACGTTCAGTCCTTTGGCGAGCAACTTAAATAAAACTCGAATTGGATGCGATATGTTAGCTTGGAAAAGACGTTGTGTATGAATGAAGGTTGGTATGTCCTTAGGCAGATGCAGGCATGCACGCACACACTTTTGGACATGGCGGGCAACTATTGTGTCCTATCGGTTGGACCAATCAGCTTTAGGAAACACGGTAAACCTCAGTGAACCTGTTTGTCTGTGCACGTTAAGTTGTTTCCGCTTCTCAAATCACAAACGAAGTAGCTAATAATGATTCTAGTAGATAATTTCACGGACTTTCGACCCCGTCAATTCTATAAGAAGATAATGTTTTCCTACCCCCGTGTAATCTACAAATAGCTGGTTGATATTGAAGTATTTATTTAGACGTCGACTGCAGTGGCTGTAGAATAATCAGAAAAGATGCACGTTATTGTCACGTTTCCGAAAATCGATTGCATTATTAGAGGCTAACAGAACTCGAAGCTCATAAAAGAATCAACGTGAACTCATTTCCTCGGAATACATATGACCGGGTAGACAGCTCAGGTTTCAATAAGCCATAGAAAACCAATTAGAAAAGATGTCACAGAATTTTAACAAACTATTCTTGAAAGATAAACTTCCCGAGACATGTTACACCAACTCATAAATTGTAAAACCAGGGGAGTTGGCACATCCTGTCTTGATCCTCAACACACGGTTAATGCTATCCCATACATTTTCGGCTTTGGGAACTTAGATGTATTCTTATAATCGAAAAAATTGACCCCTGATTAAAATGTAATGCGGTTTCGGGATTTCTAATGTGCAGCAAATGTTAGCAATTTTGATGTAACCATTTGTAAAACCCTGTAAGAATGTTACTACAATTTGACTTTTATTGTACGACTAAATGAATGACGGTTGTTTAACAGTTCGATACAAACTAGTTTACCAAGGCAGTGAGAATGGATCTAACTTTGCATGATTTCGACAAACCGCACATGAGCATTCAGTCCACACGCGACACGGTTGATGATAGCATCAACGTGTACCTAGTCACATCGACAACCATCAGCGGGTTCATCGAAATGTAAACATTTCGACCAATGTGGAATCGCATAGTTCCTATTGCAGAAGGGTAATTTTATTCTTCATCTACTGCTAAGGATAAAATAAGCAATACAGTGCGTTTAGCATCAATTTCATGCTCACTGGTAAGGCGATCACCTATTTCGTTGGTTATTCACCCGCTATGATTTGGTCAAACGCAGTGAACCTGGAAAACCCACTGAAGATGTTAGCTTTATTTTATCAGATAAGCATCTTTCCGATAGTTGCACATTATTTATCCAATCTATTCAGTTCGGGTAATCTAGGGATACAGAACGCCCTCGATAAATGAAAGAACGAAGAAAAACAGGAAACTCTTTGCATGTCACAGAATTTTGCTTGGCAGTAACTTGAAAGTTAACGCCACGGAGTGAAGGAAGGGCTGTTCATTTATGATGGGTATTCCTCAGGAGATGAAGGATACTTGCCTTGAGTAGTTAGACTAGAGTATTTCCGTAGGTTTTAGAATATCTGGAGTGATCTCAGCGAAAGGGCGAGTAACAGCTTCCATTGCAAGAACTTTAGGTTTACGGAGAGGTCACTAAATAAATATGAATAGTCCATATTGTGGGCATAAGTCCACTGCAAAAATACGAGTTTAGTAGCTGTCATCTGAAAGGTTAAATATACTGGTTTAAATTTTCAGACCTCGGCTCCGTTTGGATCTTTGTTTGTCCTACCATACAATTTGAAATCCACCCGGTGGACAGCGAACCAGAATTTTTGAGGATTTGCCCCCGATATCATGTTTTAAAAAATTGTTAGGACGAAAATACTAAAGTTTTTACTTGCTTCTGAACGTAAGTTTTCCCAGTAAACTCCTAAGGCATCGGCAACGGTATGTTTTCTTATTGCCGAATCTCAGCATGTCCAGAAACAAACATAAGGAACTTCTCAACATCTAACAAGCTGTGCGCTTTTGTGCCATTATTGCCTTATGCACAGTCTTTCCAGGATGACAAACGCTTAAGAAAGCATCCGTTTCGGCTGATTCATATAACTCGTACCCTGAAGGATGTACGAATCTCTGGTAAACGGCATGCCTCAGATAAGTGCACGAAGTTATCTCCTATAGTTGAGCTAAAACCTAAGCAATTTGAACATTTCTACCAGCAAATGCATTCACTCCAGTTCTAGACCATTTTTTTATTTGTCTGTACTAAATTCTTAGCCTAAATGCTGTTTATGAGTTTATTAAAAACCATAGAGTGTCAATCGCTGGTTTTGATTACCTTGTGGCTCATTACGTAGACATGGTTGCCGAAACTCGTACCTGAGTAGTACCAAAAATTCTGATGACTTGTGTATGGTTTTAACTGAAACTTTAACCAGCCCCCCGCAGCACATTCAGCTGAAGCATTCCACATACGATAGATCCAAGTAAGTTGCATCTGAGTCTCCAATCAATGACAACAACGCTGTTTAAAATGAGTGTTAGCAGAGTGAAGGTCTCGCCGTTTATGACCACTGATATGCTGTTATCGTCATATTTTCACGTCGGCCCAGGAGGCTCTTGGTATGGCTTGACGAAACTTGAGCGAAGATACAGCACCGCGGCGCCCATGCCTAAAGATATCTTATGATTTGGGCAAAACAGGGACGCAACAGGTAACTTGCATTACTTGTCTAAAATCCGAACTCAGCGTTTTCTTTTTCGGGTGAGATTAATTTGAGTCAAGGATTAAGCTATTATTATACAATTGCCAAGTACATTTAATCAGATGCCGGTCCAGTGTTCTATTAGTTGTTCTTTTTGGTAACACAGTCGGTGAGGAACCATGCTGCTTACTATAATACCAATGGAAATATTGAAGAAAAATTTGAGTAATTAAGACGTTGTAGAGATGATAACAGCTCGGAGCCAGTTGCCAAAAAAAGCCGCTCTGTACTCTTTGAAGCTGGACAATTTACGCTCGTTTGTTTACCTTAGGTACTACGTATCTTCATGTCTAATAGAGGACATTTGGGAACGGAACTCTAACAGTGCACATTACATATACAACACAGTCAGTGTCCGAAGGGAGTCTATATAATATGTTTGTTTATATGCTGCCTTTGAGAAAACATCGTGATCGTTGTCACAACAGTAGAACACAACTGAGATCCAACCGGGTTCCAAGTGGGCCTCCCGTCGAAAAACAAATTGGTATGCAAATGAGTGTTTCTCGTTGATTTCATGCAGCTTGGTTTCAAGTAGAAAATAAGCTTGACGGAAAATCGTGAACTGCGTCTGCCTGATGGGCTACATGAATGGCGAAACCGTTCATGGGTTGACAAACAGTTTTCAGTAACCTTAGAAAATTGGGTTGCTTGTGATGAAGGTTAATCGGCTTGTCTTTTTCAGAAATACCCCTTTTTTCATCTTTTTGCTTGTTTACCGGATAGGAGACCCCAATAACGACATGAAACTCCTGCTTTGTTTGAGGACACATTACCATTGTTCAGCGATCCTGCCGCAGCTGAACTTTGATTGACAGTCTAATCTCCACTTAGATTGCCTTTCTCGACGTGACGGGATCTCAACTAGAAAAATCGAACTTTCATACTGTAGATGTCATGACTATCCATTATACTCAACGCATCGCACGTCCGAGAACTTTCATTGAGTTTGTAAAACTGTAAAGTTAATCCGACTACAGTAGTAAATAGAGGTGAATGCCAACCTAAAAATGCGGTCGCAGTTAATAAAACAATAACAAATTTGAAAGTGATTCCTGTGGTAAAAGTGAGACAGCGTGCGGCGGTCAAGAGCATAAGTCTTTGAATGTAAGAGATCAAAGATGCTCTTGGAACAAAATTTCACCCATAATATGATACGATTCAACTATTTGTGCCAAATGTAAAGGAAAATATTTGCCTCCGAGACTGCGACAACACGTACTTGGTGTCCGTTTTTAGGTTAATTTAGCACAAGCAGTTGTGTTTAACTTATAAAGAATTTCCCATTTTTTGTGAATATTCGTCCTTTTCACCGGTATAGTTGGTGAGATTTTAGAATGTTGCTCCGTGTGGAAAAGGTTACGAAGAAAATTGGTGGACAGCTAATTACAAACTTCATACAAAGAACTATTTGTGCTCCCAGTTATTGACGATAAAGCCCTCAGGACAAGCACGTTCTGGACATTGTCAAACTAACAGCGAGAAATAACAAGACGCACTTCTGACTCTTCGCGTAATATTGTTTTCCAGTTGACATATTCGGAAATCCACCAATTAAAATAAGCATATGTTAGACAAATTTTAAAAAGTTTAATTAGTCCTCAAATGATGCCGGAAATCTAGCGCGTTATGGAAGAAAGCTGTCAGGAATGTTGTCGCATTCATTCTTCACGTTAGTTAAATTGAAAGAAACTAAAACACATCATTTCAAATTTGAAGTTTGTATTGAAAATGTTCTTTTATAGGACAATAAATGAGCTCCATTTGTTGGTTGAGTACGAATAAACAAGAGTTCTTTGGCCTAAAGACGCTTAAACCAACATAAAAAGTAGTTTTCTGTTAAAGTTAATACATTCATTTCTACTAAAAAACCCACACTATAATTCTAGCTTCATAACTGGCGGCCACCGGTGGGTACTAAAGTTAAGCCTAGTTTTCCGTATTTGTAGGTGTACTCATTTGCTGATGAGGTAGGGTCACATAATGCCACTGCTAGTCGGCATCGTCTGCCAACGTTTTTATACAAGATTGTCAGCGTAATATGTGGCAGTTTAAAAAATGTTATGGATCTATAAAGATGTATACATGTCGGTGAATACCACTGGTGACATGAAGTACGCTGACAGAATTGAATGTATCTTTCATGCAAAGGACCCATATGTCATGGGTATATCAATCATCCAGAAGGTCAATGATACTGAAATTACTCGTGTCTAGACAAACCGGAATTCCGTTTGAAAACAAAGCGTGCTCCGGCTTCATTCATCTGCGGTGCAACGACGAACACGCGGACCAACGAGTTTTGTTTTTCTCTC